AGCTAATCTACGGTCTACCGGCCGCGGGATTCGAAACCCGGGCAGATAGCACACATCGATTTAAGTACTGACGCCTTAAACCGTGCGGCCATCGACCGATAAATGAACTTTTTATTTCGATAAAATTCAAATCGATTAAAATTTGAATTTTTTCAAGGACTCGTAACATATGGTTCTTTATTTAGAATCCATTTTAAATTTACAATATTTTATTCCGATGTGCTTGTCATAGTAATACTGCTTTTTTCTAGGCTCTTATTGGTTATCAACCTAGCGATGAAATTCGTTGGCTTTGTGGAGGTTCTCTTATAAGTGAAAATTTCGTCCTCACTTCTGCAGTTTGCTTGTTTACAAAGTATGAGTAAGTAAATGTATGTATTGTATTCTGCACATACCATAAGGAAATATTTCTCATGTTGATACAAATAAACTTACAAAAGCCTTAATCCGAAATACACAATTATCAAGACATAAATCCATTTTTTTAAGCAAGTACAGTGAAACTTATTAAGAACCACGACACTGCTACAATTTTTTTTTGATGAGTAACACCGTCATCTAGATGTATTTGTTGAAAACTCATGGCTTCTTTTAGAAACTAATTCTTTGAAAATCAATTTATAATATAATAGAGTATAATTTTTTATTACCAGGGTGTCGAATTTTATTTTTTTATTTTTTTTGGTTACGGTAGTTCTAGTAGAAATACCCTCTTTATAAATTATTAAATTCCGAATACAATTCTTTGTAATCAGTAAATTTGTTGCACGTGATTAAAAATTTTGAGATTCAGTTTTTTGTGATAGGATTTTAACAGTTAATAGAGATTCACTTTTAATAAGAAACATTCCTGTAAACGTAGGTCTTAGAATGCTTCGTTTATGAGATATAGGGTGTTGAAAACAAACTTTTTTTTAAGAATTTTTCTTAATCTCTCTAAAAGACCAACAGATACTAAACTGAAATTTGGCATTAATAATACATTAGTTATGGTGAATCAAACAAAGATATCTTTATCCTTTCATCGGCCAGTGACGTGCTTGCTGTGGGTTACTGCCTTCTTTGAAAAAATAATTCGTACGCGTGTGGATTTTTCTGGAAAATAACATGTTTACTAAACTTAATCAATTTTGAACAAAACAGCTTTCTTTCAATTTCTTTAAGTAAATTACGCTATTGAGCTTATGTCCTTAAATAACTGTAATAGGCAACATTGTTAATATAAACGCCATGATAGTTTCCGTGACTTAACTAGTCCATAATAAACGAAATCAGGAAATAATTATAATATTTAAGCGCAGGGGTGCCGAATTGTATTTTATTCATTTGGTTACGGTAGTTATAGTAGATATGACCTCATTATAAATTAAATAAAAATTTGAAGTGTTCGTTTTATACTACATTAATTAATGTACGAAATTTTCAGCGGCTATCCGAAACTGGTAAGGATTGGTTTCACAAACAAGACGGATCCCACTCATATGCAAGAACGAACGGTTAGTGAAATAATCCCCCATCCCAAACACAACAACAAGAAATACCACGATATCGGTCTCTTGAAGCTCTCAAAGGACGTAAAGTTTAGCACCTACGTACGGCCAGCGTGTCTTCAAACAGAATATTATATTCCCCATATCTTAGCCATAGCCTCAGGGTGGGGGTCCCTTAATTTTACAAACGATCTTAGCAACGATTTGTTGGCAACAGTACTGGAATTTTATAGTGTAGATGAATGTAATAACACGTACAGGCGATACATTCGGGCTGGTGGTAATTTGGAAAATGGAATCGTTGACGATCTGATGATTTGCGCCGGGATCTCTAAATCCTTAAGGAGTACATGTCAGGCAAGGCACATAATTTTTTCAAATTAAGTTTCTAGCTCGTATTTACTTCCTGATTCTCATTCAGTCTCTTCATTTAATACCACAAACGTGCATACACTTCCAGTCAAAGGTAAAATATAATTTAAGTAAAAAAATACATTACAAATTGAAATTCTTATAAATATACCAATTAAAAACTTATCCGCTATGACAAAACTGAGTATTAATAAAATCTTGCACAGCATAAAACAATTTTTAAGAGAACGCTCTTTAATTTCTATTTTGTAACATTCATAGTGAACTGTCTAACAGGAAGTGAAACACTATTACAAATCCTTATTTCCATTTAATTTAATTTTGATTGTGTCAGTCGATAGTGGTTTGTTCTAACTGGAACAAAAAGATTATTAATAAAAATAATTCTATAGAATTTACTTTTCCTTTACACTCTAAAGTGATCACAAATATTCGAGGCCTATTGGTCTTTGTTTTAGTTACATGAACAGCCAGAATTATTTCTTTGTGCTCTAGATTTATTACTTTTAAATTCAAAAGTTCTATTAAAGTACAAAACATGTATTGTCTAGTTAGAATTGGTTACTATTACATCATTTTTTAATACATGTTTTTTATTTTAGGGTGATGGTGGTGGCCCTCTTCAGGTATACCACCAAGAAACTGACGAAGTCAAATGTATGTACGATATTATCGGAGTGACTTCCTTTGGAAAACCCTGCGGTTTGGCGAAAAATATTCCAGATGTATTCACTAGAGTATCAGCTTATATAAAATGGATAGAAGATATTGTATGGCCGATCTAAAATGTTATTTTACTTTAATATTTAATGGTAATAAAGACTTGTATTTTACAATGTAAGATTTTTTTTTCAATAAATGAATTGAAGAAAAATAATAGCTTTTCTTATGAATCTAGTAATAATAATTGAAACTGTATATATTAATATAAACAAAAATTAATACTTTAATAATTTCTTTTAATCAGAATATTAAATAAAATATCGCTAGAATGCTTTCCTTAACCACACTGCTAAACAAAATAAAAATCTTCAAGGTTGTGGTCTCATCAAAGCTGATACTATATGTACAAGTATGGTAGATTAATTTAGTTACTCAAAAGCAACATGTCTGTCAGGCTTAACTACAGTGTGCTTTTGTTTGTTTTCTTTCTTCCTCGCGGTTCTTTTGAAATTTTGGCTAAAGATAAGTTATTTTATTTAATGTAGACTATGTTTTATATTATATAACAATGAATAAATATCAATTATTAGTAGAGTTCGACGATCATAGACGTTGCGTCGGCCTTTCGCTACAGCACACCATACGAAACCGGTAATAACGGCAGTTGTTGGTTTCGCGTTTGCTTCGTGTATGCGTGTTTTAATATTCTAATAATGTCGAACGCACCAAGGGGTAAAAAACGACTTTCGCTGATAAAATATGCAAATTTATTTATTTTTTTATTTATACCTACCTGTTTATTCATTTGTTTACGACGAACACGCCTATGACTAGCCGACGAAAACCCCGAACTCTAATTGTTAGTATATAGATGATGCGTCCGTGACTGAGTTAGCTTTTTTTAAAAAAGCTTTATTTCTTGTAACAAATAATTTCTTTATTTCACTTTTTTACACTTTGGGAGTTTTATTTTAACTTTTGAAGTTTAATTTTGTTTTTAAGAGACACAGAGTTCTAAAGCGAACTAAGGTAAACTAAGACTTTCCTAATTTAAATGACACGAAGTTCTGAAGCGATGCTAAGATGAACTAAGGTGAATTTGCTTTGTTACAAGGGCTATTTATAACTTCATTTAGTCTTAAGTCAGCAGAAGCTGATCAGAAACAATAAATTTCTTAGGTAAGTTAAGTCCTTGGTAACTTGACAATGATCCTTTATTCAAGTGCTTATCTTTATAACGAGCGTTCAAACAAAAACGTGGTCGAAGTTGGCTCTGACACATTGGACGTAGGGAGTAGCTTATAGCGACCAACTTAACCTCATTTCTCAACCAGCTGTATAGCAGCTGTCAGTTTCAATAACGTTAACGACTATATAACTTTATTTTAAAGAATAATCGTGATAACAATAACAAACAATTAAAGGAGCTGCGGAAAGTGTCCCCCTCCTTGTTATAACAATAAATTAAAGCAGCTGCTGAAAGTGTCCCCCTCCTTGTTCCAAGCACTTTTCACACCTGTTCCTCAAAGAATTAAAGACATTTTCTAAGATGCTCGGGGTATTGTTAATTTCACGAATCTTGTCTATAAGTCGAGCCTGCAGATGGTTTAAATCAGGAATAGGCAGTTCAAAAATAGTGTTTTTAAGGTAAGGCCACAAAAAGAAATCACACGGCGTAATATCACATGACCTCGGTGGAAATTCATGTTCAGCATTGAGACTTATTAGTCGATTTTGGAAAACTTCCCTCAACATATTCATCGTCTCGCCTGCCGTATGTGCCCTTGCGCCATCTTGTTGAAAGTAAAAGTTTGTAATTTCGTTTTCTTCCAGCTGGTTAACAAAAGGAGCGATAATTTCTTCTCTATACCTTTGCGCAGTAAGAGTACCATTAAAAAAAATAGGTCCATAAATCCTCCTTCGATTGAGAGCACACCAAACTCCAATTTTTTGAGCGTGTAGAGGGCCCTCGACAAAAAAGTTATCTGGTTTTTCAGAAGACCACATTCTCATATTCTGTGAGTTTACGTAACCACTTAAATGAAACCAGGCTTCATCAGAAAAAAAGGTGATATTATGAAGTTCACCGTAGTTGTTTAAAAACCATTCACAAAATACAGCCCGTCGCGGAAAATCAACTTCATGAAGTTCTTGCTGACAAGTTAAACGATAGGAGAACAAACGCAAATCTTTTTTTAACACTGTGTGGCAGGTACCGACTGATACTCCCACCATTTGTGATAAAACACGTACAGAAGTTCTTGGCGCATTTTCCATTATTTGTTGGACATTTTCTTTTAATTCTTCAGTCCGCTTTTTAGGTCGGCCGCTTCCTTCTTTTCTTGTTACACTGCCCGTTTCACGAAAAACATTAACACAACGCTGAACTGCACTTTGAAAAATTTTGTACTCAACAACGCCGGGAAATTGATTTTGAAATTCTATGAAACATTCCTCAATAGAATACTTCCATATTCCATCAATCTTGCGTCCATTTCTAAAGTAGGACTCTATGATAAACACTTTTTGTTCTTGAGAAAACACCATTTTAAACGCTTTTTAAAACGAAAATATTCAAATTGATAGCGGCGATATAGCGCTTTGACAGATGACGTTTAAGTTCATTTGCTATACGCTACGCCCTACGTCCAAATATTCAGAACCAACTTGACCACGTTTTTATTTGAACGCTCGTTACAATACAATGTTGCATCCTTTTTTGAAATTATTCTAAGTCCGAAATGAACACAGTGGAATTTTCATATAACATTGATGTATATGAAAATATACACACTAGTTATGTATATGCCCAAAATATAATTTATTTGTTATTAACATTTAAGCCGAAAGTATAACTATTAAATGTTGATGTTCTGGTTAATTTAGGAATCGTAATAAATATTTGTCTTATGCTATCAATAATATTGGGTTCGTTTCTACTTCGGTAGAAGTATTTCATCCCCCGTGATGTTTTAATCTTGTGAAATTTCCACCTCCAGCGACCGGTAAATTCTGTTGGGTTGGATAACTTTGCAAGAAACATTTCCTATTGAATGCATTCTAATAGGTTGAGTAATATATTTATTGTTTTCATTGGACGTAAAACTACATATTTTCCATAAAGGGTGTTTCTTAAGTAGAGGTCAAAAACCCAGTTACGTTTACCTTTCCATTTTTTTAATAACTATCTCAAACCATCGTTAACAGACAAAAAGTACTGTAAGTCTAATTATTATTATCACCATCAAATTGATTTAAAGGATTTCTTAACCATATTATTAATAAAATATTAATAAAATATATCAGTTCGCTTAAGGAAAATAAAAGTTGCCAAGGTCGTCACCTCATCAAAGCTGATACTGAACAAGTTTCTCCGATTTTAATTGCCTGAGTGCGCCATGCCTACCAGGTTTAATTACAGTGTGCTTTTATTTGTTTTCATTCTTTCCCCTGCTTCTTTTGACATTTTAGAAAAAGGTGAGTTGTAATATGCAATGTGGACCATGTTTCATATAGAATATAATTTATTTTTGTTATTTCATGTAAAAGTGATTGTTAATGATGGAGGTATACCCTAAAGCGACGTAGTTTAACAAAGTGACATCGCTGTAATGTATATTGAAAATGTAAAAATTAAAGACCAGTTTTTAATATTCTCGACGTCTTCAGGAGACAAATGTTCCTTGAAAGATGGCAGCGAAGGTATCTGCAAACTTATAACGGAATGTCCGACCGCTGTACAACTGACAAGAAAAAAAGTTATTCCGGTAATATGTGGATTCGAAGAAACTGAATCTATTGTGTGTTGCAAAGAAGATGAGGAGGTGATGGAAATTACTAGAACGACAACTAATCCAGTTACCAACAGAACACCAGGAGATATAAGCAAACAAAGTAAAATTTAAGTTTATGTGTATTACAGACTTACTAAACATTAGAACTAGAAATGTATTTCAGTTCTAGTTATCCTTTTGTCTACTAACATCGAAATTAATTTTCAGAATGCAAAGAATATGCGGAGTATGCCTACGAAAAGGTGTTTGCCCCCACATTGTTGCTCAAACCGCACATTACAAAAAGGCTTGTGTGCGATATTCCGCGAAATAGACTCGTTGTGGGAAGTTCCTTGGCATCAAGAAGGGAATTCCCTCATATGGTATGTATTCCTTTTATTTCTTTATTTGGAATGGCTACAATAATCCACAGACCAATAAAATTTAACTTTCTTTGGAAGCAGAAACTTGAATATATATTTCCGAGTGATCTAGGTGCGCTGAATCCGAATCTGGAAGCAGAATTGCTCTCAGGTTTTGGAGACATCCTAACCTAAAAGTGCAAAAACACTGTTTTTCGTCATATTTGAGGTTATGTAGTAATGCCATCTATTCTTTTTCAAAAAACTAATAGATTGAATCTAAAAGTACAAGGCTCCCTTTTTCGAATGCCGTTGAGTTTGCTCAAATATCTTTTTTTTTCGTTGAGATATCACATGTTGAAATTTTTAAGTTTCTCAGTTTCTTAATATGCGAAAATGTACTAAAGGATCCCTTAGACATCAAGCAGTCGATTGCAATTCAGAAACTTCATACCCATACGGTTTGTGGGTTTGGAGTTGGTGGGCTTGGGGTTTGTAAGCTTGGAGTTTGTAGGTTCGGGTTTTGTGGGATTGGGGTTTGTGGGTTTAGGGATTGTGGGTTTGGAGTTTGTGCGCTTGTGGATTTGGAGTTTGTAAGTTTGAGTTCGTATGTATTACAGGTTTCTGAGTATGAAGTTTCTGAACTGCAATCAACTGTTTCACGTCTAAGGGATCCTTAGTAGACTTTTGCATATTAAGAAACGAAAAAAAAAAAGATATTTGAGCAAACTCAACGGCATTCGAAAGAGGGAGCCTTGTACTTTTAAATTATATGTATTAGTTTTTTGAAAAAGAATAGATGGCTTAGGTACTATATAACCTCAAATATGAAGAAAGACAGTGTTTTTTGCACATTTAGGTTAGGATATCTCCAAAACCTGACGTGATAGAGCAATTCTGCGGCCAGATTCGGATTCAGCGCACCAAAATCTTTCGGGAATGCATATTAGTGTGTCTGCTTCTTGACCCTTGTTGACCTGTGTTATTATTATAAATATCACCACAAAATAAAATACAAAAAGAGTTAAAATATCGGTTCGGTGTTAAATAAATTTGGAATCTCATTTAATTTGGAGTCCCATGAAGATAAATGAAAATTTTTTCGAGTTATCTACATAACATTACTATTAGAAAGCTAATTAAAAAAAATCGAAAATTTTGAGAGAAACTACCTGTGCTAGTATTAGAATACATGTTTTTTCAAAAGCATATTTTAAAACATGATTTTTAAAATCTTGGCATGGTGTTTAATATCCATCATACGCAATTCCTTATTTAAATTCTGCCTTAAATTTAACATGTTTTTCAACACGTTTCTAGGCTCTTGTTGGTTATAAACATGACGATGAAGTTGCTTGAATCTGTGGAGATTTTCATCCAGTGGCAATATACAACACTGTTGAATATTTATAATACGTTATTCGTTATATTAAAATTCTGCTTCAAATTTACATTATTCTCGACCTCTCGATTATTTATTTTTATGCTTGCCAAAGTAAGATTGTTTATTTCTAGGCTCTTATTGGTCATAAACCTGAGGGTAGTGACACTAACTGGCACTGTGGGGGTTCTCTCATAAGTGAAAACTTTGTTCTCACCGCTGCGCAATGCTTGTTTGCAGCATCACTGTAAGTACAACATTTACATAAGGTGTCCTCGTAAGAAAGTGCTCATATTTTAGGGCTAAAAGTAAAAATTTTTAAGACATTTAAGGAATATAAGACAATGATAAACGACTTCAACGAGAAAGTTAATTATCACTTCGCATCTCAAAAGTATAGGAGGGTTAATTTGTTAAACAGGATGTTTTGTAACGAATGGGCTATACCACAGAATATCCTAACTACATAGGATATTCTGTGGCTATACTATAATGGAACGTTTATCGATCTAACCCAGTTTAGTTTAGCACAAAAGTTAGTAACAACATACAGGAAAAAGGCTGTTTTTCCTCAATATTTTTTGACACGTACTAGCTATTTGGACAAAATTTGATCCATGGCGGTTTATCGTGATGTTTGATCAGTATTTTGCCATGTTTTATAGGTGACCCTATCGGCATCCAGTAAACATGCAATAGGTCTCTATTTTTTTGGTCCTCACAGTATATAATTTCTGATATTAAACATACTTTTCTATTCTTCATTCTTCATACTTTTCTACGAATAAAAAGTATTTGACATCGTTAGAAGCATCCATTTTCGAGAAAAGAGGGAGCTCAATTTTTTGAGCGTCAACTTCCGGTATAACCGGAAGTGTTAGGTGGATGCCATTATTTTAGTTGAGAAGGGTTTCAAAAAGGTTATTGGCCAAAATTAAAATCGAAGTAGTGCGAGAAAAAAAAACAAAAACTTACTTTTTTGTACCAAATTTCAGAACCCCCCCGATACTGGTAAGGGTTGGTGTGACAAATAAGACAGACCTTTCGCAAATGCAAGAACGAACAGTGAGTGAAATCATCATCCATCCCGAATTCAATTCTACCAGTACGTACTACGACATAGGTCTGTTGAGATTCTCAAAGAATGTAGAGTTTAACACCTACATACGACCAGCATGCCTGCAAACTGAAAAATTTATCCCCTCTGTCTTAGCTATAGCTTCAGGATGGGGGGTTATTGGATTTGGAGAAGAAACGAGCAACGATTTATTGGCAACAGTGTTAGAATTCTACGGTGCTGAAGAATGTAATAACAAGTATAGATTGGATGTTTCATCTGATAGACTGAAAGCTGGAATCGTTGACGATATGATCATTTGCGCTGGAATCTCTAAATCAGAAAGGTCTACATGTGAGGTGAATAGTATAATATATATATTGTTATGGGTATAAATATGTATTTGTGTTTGCGCCAATATTTTTATGGGTAGTGATTTGTATGTGTATATAATGTTCATGTAATTAATAAAATAATGACCCTGTTGTGTAAATGTTTATGTTGCAATTTAGGTTGTCAATTTTACCCTGGCTAGCTTTCGACCCTTCTCAGTAGTGAGTTCTAGTGAGGTACAAACTCTGCAGGAAACCACACTAAACAAAGATATTATTTAGAAATTAATTTATTTATTAGATTTTTTTATATATAACAATAAAAGTTAACTGTGAAATGTCAGGCACAAATTAAAGAATATTTGGAATTATCCTACAGTACTTTTGTAACACTTTGAGAAATATTTTATATAATTGTATTCAATTTGATTTATTATGATGTATTGTTGGCTGCCTATAGATTAAGCAATAAATTTTGATCTTAAAATTTCTTTCTCAATGTGTTACTGAGCTTACTTCAAATCTTAATATCTATCAAATTTTAATATGGCCAAATTTTTATAATTATTCAAATAGTGAAATTAAATTTTTTAACTTATATTTCAAAATATTCCTTACTTCTATATTTGTATTTGACTTTCTTATGTAATATTTTATGACTTGTGGATCCAACTTTATTTTTGACATTTTACTGACATTATCTTCCTATTTATATAAAAAATTTTACTTTAGACATTAATATTTCCTAATACTTATTTTTCTTACTTTTAATGCTACTATTAAATAAAACTATGATATTTTAGATTTCGTTTGTTATATGTCACTTGCTATTACTAATTAATTTTAATTATGTTTTTCCAATAATACCTTTGGCATGTACGCTATTTGACCTAAATGATAATGTTTTTTATACTTAAATCTTTGAAATTTATTCTGTTCTAGTAATACGACTCTCTCCAAGAATGTGGAGACGCTCTAGAGTCTTTGGCCAGACGAAAAAAAGTAGAATTGGTATGGGTCCCAGGCCATAGGAGCATCCCTGGTAACGAGAGGGCGGATCAATTAGCTCGTCTTGGGTCCAGGGGACCTGGACAGGGACCTGAACCAATCTTAGGTATCACACGAGGCAGCATTAATGGGGCCCTCAATAAGTGGGCCTATCAAACTTTAGGTCTGGATTGGAGGAGAAATAGAGGATGCAGGCCCATAGTTTTATACATGGACCTAGCAAATCCAAGACAAGATGGCTGCTGAGCCTCAGTCGAAGAGCCCTAAACCAAATGGTGGGGGTTCTGACAGGCCACTGCAGACTTAGGAGGCATTTAAGCTTAATAGGAATTGAGGAGGACCCTCTATGCCCGAAATGTGGCGAAGGGGAGGACACCCCTGTCCACCTTCTGGGACAGTGTGCAGCCTTTGGGAGAATAAGACATAAAGTCTTTGGTGCTGAAGAGCTGCAAGGGGCTGAGGTGAGAGACCTTCCATGGACCAAAATCCTGGCGTTCATTAGGGCGTCGGGTAGGTTCGAGGAAGGTCAGAGGCAGAGAGTGGTCAGGTGATGGGACGGCGGGGTAGGCAAAAAGGGCCCACTTGTGGCCTAATTGCCAGGCTGAGGCCGCCCCTTTACTACTACTACTAATACGACTCTCTGATAATAAGTCACAATAACCTATTTAATACTAACAATTTTTTTTATTTTTTTTTAATCAAATATTTTTCTGTTTTACAACAATTATTTCAACCTTTCTCTTCATCGTGTCTTATTCAATTAAAATTTTAATTTAACTTTTAAATTGCTCTCAATAATAATAATATATATATATATAAAATTATTAAATCAGTTGAGAAAAAAATAATATTAAGATGAAATACTAACATTAATAGTAAACAAAAAGAAAACATTAAAAATATACACTACTACTTTCATTTTTAGGGGGATGCTGGTGGTCCTCTTCAAATATACCACAAAGAAACTGAAGAAGTCAAATGCATGTACGACATCATCGGGGTGATCTCCTATGGGAACCCATGCGGTTTTCAGCAAAGCGGTCTTATAGATATATTCACTAGAGTATCGGTTTATCTAAAGTGGATAGAAGACATTGTTTGGCCGAACTAAATATGTACTACTTTCATATTATTTTTATATTTAATGTGATTCAAGAAGAATAAAGGCTTTTATTTTATAACGTAACAATTTTATTCAAGAAATTCAGAGAACTTTGTTTTAAATCAACCAAAAGTTCAAACAAAGAAATATAACTTTATGTTAAGAATAAAAGGCATTGAGACAAGGAATTCCTACTCGTTTAAATGAAAAACATTCATTATTTAAAGAAATATCACCTCATCTCGTATGCATTAGTTTTCTCGATTTCAAATATGTAGGTACATCGTTTTTATTACTACACTTGAGGAATAGTAGTGTTGATTAATCTTAATATTAGTATAGCTTTCTTCCGTGTGTTATAATATGTGTTTAAACTTTTTTTAGCTGGAATGTTTTTGGGCACATGGGTATGGTTATTCTGGTGTCTATATACATATTCTTTGTAGGCTTTGTCTTGCCCGAGCACTGTTTGTCTGTCTAACCACTTTACGTAGGTCTCCTTAGAGTGTCTAGTATTTGAAGCCACTTGGAGCTTATTTTCATCACTAATAGCTGTTTTACATTGACAATGTATTGATCTATTGGTTCTTTCTTACGAAAACCAAATTAAATTATCCAAGGTCGTAATATCTCCCAGATTGCAATTCCACAAGTCGGTTTCACAAACTAGTTTTTTGAAAGCAGTATGTCTGCTAGTCTGAGGGTTGTTTTATGTGTACAGCAAGAATAAAACGCTCTTTCAACGGTAATAATAAAGTATTTTATTGAAAACTAAGCTTGTGAAAAAAACGTGTTGTCGGTTCGACTGTTTGCTGTAGAGTCTCCGTGTGTGGAGTCGGTCGTAGGTATATGAGCACGCATCTGGTCGCCGGCGCCAGTCCGGCCTAGACCTTTCCTGGAACGCTGGTGCGTCCGGCGGCGTCCTGCTGGCGCTCTTGACATAATGCTTAAAAATGAGTCACTTGCGGCATGTGTACCCACAAGTCAATATCTTAAAAAAAAATGTGTAAAATCCTTATAGTTTCCGAGTCTGGACAACTGTAGTCTCTAGCGTCATTCGCAAATAGGCGTGGAGAGCCACGTGGCCTCAGCGACTCCGAATACTGAAATCCGATTTTACAATCGTCGTTGCGTTAGTGTTTACCTGTTATCTGTGGTGTTTACAATAGTTTTTTAGTAGTTAGAGTCAGAAATGGCTTGCGTGTATAGCAACTCAGAGTTATGGATATCGTTTTAATTTATGGTGAAGCAAGACAACATTTGTGCTAGGTAGTTCGTAGAAACTGAGTAAGACGGACCCAAATGTGTTTACACGTCGGTGGATAAAATTTTGAACAGTTGTTGTAACATCAGGTATACCAAATTATTTTATTATTTAAAACCACAAATTAGTTTTATTAGAGATTAGAAGAAGAATTAAAGATCCCTTCTCGTGTGAAGGATGCTTCGTCTGTAAAAAGCACAAACCGCGGAAAATTTGCTTGCAACTGACACTGTTGAAGAAACCAATGGCAAAAGTTTAGTCGTGGCTGAAAGTCGGCGGGAGTTAAAGCTTGAACCTTTTGTATATGATAAGCGTGAAGCTGTTGCTCGCGTAAAACTTGCCAAACGCTTACATGGTTTACATGCATATTCTGAGCAATACTTCGACTGCTGGTGGATTGGTTTTCTTCTATCCTATTAAGAACTTCTTCTTCGAACCTTATCGTTCTGCGGTTTCTCCTTACCCCGCAGTTAACCCTATTTGTTGTAAAAGTTCCTGTTTCCTGCAACCTGCGAAACACTCTTCCAAATATCTTATGTGAAGGGGTTGGACGATTTGGAAATCGGATTGAGTATAACCGACGGGCAGCCCTGCCATTACAACGCGCTTGACCGTACATTAATATCATGTTTGCATAATCAGCAGAAGTATATTCATTCATGATGTATGAATGTTTTAAACGAATGGATAAAGATATCTATCTAATAATTAAAACTTACAAACTAAACTTTACACTAAAATAACAATAATAATTAAAAACTGCCTCGTTTCACAATCGAAAATAATTTGACATTAAAATACAAGTAATGTCAACGGCAAATGTTTTTTTTCCAACATTTTAAACTTGCTTGAGGAATACGGAAACCTTGAATGTTTTGTATCTCAAAAAGAAAAAGCGACACATGTATGCATTTACTAAACAATTTCGTGAAAAATTTACTCAACATGTCACTTTTTAAAAATTTTTGGTTTTTGGAGCATAAGGTGACCTCAGTAATGTAAATGTTAATAACTTGATAATTACTCATTTTATGGAAGTCTAACAAGTATACATTATTTACGTAAAAAATACTAGCAAATTCAAAAACATACGAAAAACTAATATTTGTACAGTGCCGCACAATTTAGGGGGGATAAAAGGTGAAACGACACCTATCGCACGCCACTAGAAGAAGCCAATAAATGGTTTCTGCCATATTTATGCATCCTTTAAGCTAGTAAATCTGTCTGTTGAGTTTGATAAAGAAATATTAACTAATACCGGAGCTACAGGAAAAAATAGTTTATTATTTTTAAATTTCAACGCCCTGTATCTCGAAAATGAGCCGCTTTAGGACATATGTTTATTAAGTAAACTGCACTTATTTCTGGATTTTTTACATACCATATCCGTTTGTAACACCTATTCATTAACACCCTGTATATGTAAGAAATATAATATTAATTACAAGTATTGGTGATTGATAAGATTATAAACATTAATAGATATGATTATCTCAAAGCCTCCTCTGTCTTTAGGTGCCGACTTTAAACGCAATTTTTTCAAAAACTGTCAGTGATTTTATGTTGAAAAAATCATTGAAAATTTGAAAAATGTTATTTGTTCCCGCTTTAAGCAGTTGCATTTTTTAGAAAAGGGTCTCGAAAATATAGTTTTCACGCCATTGGTTTTTTCGTAGCAAATGATACAGTTCTCCGATAAAATTCTTAAAACTAGAGTATAGTAACTATGGTTATCTAATAATAATGCTATCGTTCATAGAGAAGAAAATTAGAGCCACAATAAATTTTTATTTATCAAATTATTATATTTATTGCATTCATTGAATAGTTTTCTTAACCAGAATATTAACAAAACGTTATTAGATAGCTTCTTTTTAATCACATTGCGCAGACAAAATAAAAGCCGTCAAGGTCTTGTTCTGGACAAAGCTTGCGTGCTGCATAAGTCGATTTGATTATGTTAGTTTCCTGAGAGCAGTATGTCTGCAAGGTTTTGTTACAATATATTTTTATCTGTGGTCGTTTTTCCCTTTGCCATTTTATGTAAAGGTAAGTTCATATGTATGTACTATACTATATATTTTTTTAAATTGCCAGTGTTGCGAGAAATAACTACTCCGCGGGCTATATGCTCCGACCGGCATTGAATTACACTCGCAACACCTAAAGCTATGGTTTGTTAGAGCTGTAGGCGACGCAAAGCAGACAGTCAGTTGTGCGCGTCAGACTTACGTTGGAATCTAAAACACAAGAACAAGGGTAGCTGGTTTGTTAGAGTCTGCTTAGGTGAACTCACGGTAGGCAGAAAATTATGTGCGTCGTCGGTTCAGTCGAAATCAAATTTGATTTGATTTCAACGCAGCCGTTCAGTTGAGCTCACAGCGTACAGTACTAAAAAAGCTTTTATTTTTAACGAATTTTAAAATGGTAACCAAGTTTTCATCAGAGGAAGACGAGAAATTAATCGATCTCGTACGAGAACATCCCCCATTGTATACCGTCCCTTCCAAATGTCTATAGAAAAGATTCGATCTTCACTTTTATTTTAACGACGACACGACAACTAATTAAATTTAAAAGATCTATTTCATGTTCTTTCTCAATAAGTACTACCAGCAAAAAATATTCAACCACTGTCATGAAAAAAAAAAAATTGCCAAAATAATAATAAATATTTTCGTCTGCACTTATCAGAATACAATCACAAGCACTAAATCTAACAAAACACCCTCCTTCAAAACCGATAAAGTTGAACGCTACAGATTCTGCTAACTGCGTATGTCGTCTGCGACGCACAGNAAAAAAAAAAATTGCCAAAATAATAATAAATATTTTCGTCTGCACTTATCAGAATACAATCACAAGCACTAAATCTAACAAAACACCCTCCTTCAAAACCGATAAAGTTGAACGCTACAGATTCTGCTAACTGCGTATGTCGTCTGCGACGCACAGTTCTAACAAACCAAAGCTTTATGCAACAGCTGAGATCGCTCGTCAGTCTAACCCACTAGTTACATACCGGTTTCGGACTTATTAGTCCTCGTCAGTGTGTCATAGGTGAGACAATCGACGAACAATCCAACTGTTATAGTGTCGTATACTCACGACAAAGAGGTACATAGTACGCGAAGCGCAAATGGCTCCATCTGTCGTGCTGACTTCCCACTATACCATTCAAATGGCTACTACGGTTGGAAACGATCTGCTAAAATTTGCCAGGTACTTTGTTGCACGACTGTCGCCTAGAGGGCGATAACAAAATTGCCAGTGTTGCGAGAAACAACTACTAATGCCCCGAGTGGCATTGAATTACACTCGCAAGACCTAATGGCATTTTAAAAACATTTTGTTTCGTCGTGCAACAAAGTACCTGGCAAATTTTTGCAGGTTGCTTTTTATCGTAGTAGCCATTTGAATGGTATAGTGGAAAGTCAGCACGACAGATGGAGACATTTGCGCTTCGCGTACTATGTACTATACTTTATATTGAAGAAAATAAAATTGTAACGTCGTTGGAGAACATTAATGTTTTCATGAATCTGAAAACGAGAAGGAATACGAAGAAGTGGAGACGAATATATACCGTGGGATGGAAAAAATCATCCGCAAACGTTTAATCAGAGTGAGTTCAATGATGTCATTCGTAACTTAGGTTTACCAAAAGATTAAATATTCATCTAGAAATCTGAAAAAGAAAAATCCTCTATTGAAAAGAACAAAAAGAAAAAATATGGTAGTATGAAGTATGCCTTAAAAATATATATTCAAAGCACAAATGATGAATTTGT